GCCCTTGTTCTTGCTATTTTGCACTCGCTAGGCCCTTGTTCTTGGAATTTTGCACTCACTATGCCCTTTTTCTTGCAATTTTGCACACGCTAGGGCCTTGTTTTTGCTATTTTGCACAAGCTAGGCCTTTGTTCTTGCAATTTTGCACACGCTAGGCCCTTGTTCTTGAAACTTTGCACACGCTAGGCCCTTGTTCTTGCAATTTTGAACATACTAGGCCCTTGTTCTTGCAATTTTGCACACGCTAGGCCCTTGGACTTGCAATTTCGCACTCGCTAGGCCCTTGTTCTTGCAATTTTGCACACGCTAGGCCCTTGTTCTTCCAATTTGGCACACGGTAGGCCCTTGTCCTTTAAAGTTTGCACACGCTAGGCCCTTGTTCTTGTTTTTTTTGCACTCCCTAGGCCCTTGTTCGTGCAATTTTGCACTCGCTATGCCCTAGTTCTTGCAATTTTGCACACGCTAAATCCTTGTTTTTGCTATTTTGCACAAGTTAGGCCCTTGTTCTTGAAATTTTGCACACGCTAGGCCCTTGTTCTTGAAAGTTTGCACACGCTAGGCCCTTGTTCTTGCTATTTTGCACTCGCTAGGCCCTTGTTCTTGCAATTTTGCACTCGCTAGGCCCTTGTTCTTGCTATTTTGCACACTCTAGGCCCTTGTTCTTGCAATTTTGCACACGCTAGGCCCTTGGTCTTGCAATTTCGCACTCACTAGGCCCTTGTTCTTGCAATTCGGAACACGGTAGGCCCTTGTTCTTTAAATTTTGCACACGCTAGGCCCTTGTTCTTGTTTTTTTGCACTCGCTAGGCCCTTGTTCGTGCAATTTTGCACTCGCTATGCCCTAGTTCTTGCAATTTTGCATACGCTGGGCCCTTGTTTTTGCTATTTTGCACAAGTTAGGCCCTTGTTCTTGAAATTTTGCACACGCTAGGCCCTTGTTCTTGAAAGTTTGCACACGCTAGGCCCTTGTTCTTGCTATTTTGCACTCGCTAGGCCCTTGTTCTTGAAATTTTGCACACGCTAGGCCCTTGTTCTTGAATTTTTTCACACGCTAGGCCCTTGTTCTTGCTATTTTGCACTCGCTAGGCCCTTGTTCTTGCAATTTTGCACTCACTATGCCCTTGTTCTTGCAATTTTGCACACGTTAGGGCCTTGTTTTTTCTATTTTGCACAAGCTAGGCCCTTGTTCTTGAAATCTTACACACCCTAGGCCCTTGTTCTTGCATATTTTGCACATACTAGGCCCTTGTTCTTGCAATTTTGCACACACTAGGCCCTTGTTCTTGCAATTTTGCACTCGCTAGGCCCTTGTTCTTGCAATTTTGCACACACTAGGCCCTTGTTCTTGCAATTTTGCACACGCTAGGCCCTTGTTCTTGCAATTTTGCACACGCTAGGCCCTTGTTCTTGCAATTTTGCACTCGCTAGGCCCTTGAAGCGCATGAGTCCCTGTAGGCGTAGGGAAAAGCATTCAACAACTTTTATTGTTTAGCATATTTGACTAGCCCAGATTCAAATACACCTACTAGAGCCTTCTCGGCTTGGTTCTTGCGCGAAGAAAAGTTCGGCGCCTACGATTTCGGCCGTTTTTGCCGACAAGTGCCTAGAAAGCGCTTGAATCCCTATAGGCGTAGGGAAAAGCATTCAACAACCTTGTTTGTATTGCATATTCAAGTGGCCCATATTCAAATACACCTACTAGAGCTTTTTTGGCTCGGTTCTTGCGCGAAGAAAAGTTCGGCGCCTACGATTTCGGGCCGTTTTTGCCGACAAGTGCATAGAAAGCGCGTGAATCCCTATAGGTGTAGGGAAAAGCACTCAACAACCTGATTTTTATTGCATATTCCACTGGCCCATGTCAAAATACATATACTAGAGCCTTGTGGCTTGGTTCTTGCGCAAAGAAAAGTTCGGCGCCTACGATTCCGACCGTTTTTGCCAACAAGTGCCTAGAAAGCGCGTAAATTTCTTTAGGCGTAGGGAAAAGTATTCAACAACCTGATTTTTATAGCATACCGTATCACCCCGGATATAAGCGCATATGCGCTTATAATAAATTCAGTTTTTTTGAGGGGGGGCGCTTGTAATTGAGTAACGGCCATAAGTCCCGGCACTTTTATATGTGAAGAATGAGGAATGAAGAAGAGAGGGGTTGCACTAGCAGCAGCTGGCATACATATAGGAAACCCTAATTGGGTTGTACTCGCTATAGAGTACCCCACTGCAGGCTAGACAATTATAACATTCTGACACACCCCCATAGCCAAAGTGGGGTGTAATCAGCACAATGAGCAAGCAGGCATGGAGCAGGAGTTCACAATAGCGAGCAAAGCTAGAGTTGATCACAGCGGGCAAGTGAGGAGGAGGAGGAACTATGGAGGGAGAGAAGATGGGAGGCAACGACTGAAGCTGCAGAGGCACGGGCACAGGAGCGGCTGACTTAGTGGCTACCGAAGCAAGGGCGACGGACTACAGGAGTAACTGGCTCTGCGGCTATAGACGAGCGGCAGGAGCAACGGACCCACTGGCGACTGGTGCAACAGGCTCACTGGCTACCGAAGCAAGGGCGACAGACTACAGGCGCTGCAGGCGACACGACAGCTACCTCCACACAACCTCCTCCAGCTGCCCCACACCCCTCGATACACAACCCTTGCTCAAACCCTAGTTCCACTCCCACAGCACCCCCCTTTCACACACCCCCTGCTGCACCCTAGGTTCACTCACACCCCACCCCCTAGCACCACTCCGTCGACTCCCACACACCCACCCCCCTCAGCGGTAGCTGCAGCAGTGGGAGACAGAGGAGGAGGAGGAGCAGGGGAGACCACACACCCGCCACCCTCTACTCGCCACCCCCAAACCCTAACACAGGGCAGGGCCGGGCGACGGGTAGGGAGGTTACGGCGGGGGGGGGGGGGGGGGGGAGGGGCTGACGCGCGGCCTCCCAAGGCGCCAAAACAGGCGGCAGAAGGGGCGACGGAGCATGGCCGGGGCAGGGCCGGGGCAGGGTCGAGGCAGGGCCGAAATGGGTGGCGACGGGGCCGCGAAGGGGCCGCGAGGGGCCTGAAAGGTTGGCGACGGGGCCGTTAAGGGCGGCGACGAGGCCGCGAAGGGGCCGCGAGGGGCCTGGAAGGGCGACGACGGGCCGCTAGGGGCGGCAACGGGGCCGCGAGGGGCCTGAAAGGTCGACGACGGGACCGTTAGGGGCGGCGACGGGGCCGCGAGGGGCCTGGAAGGGCGGCAACGGGGCCGCGAAGGGGCTGCGAGGGGCCGAGAAGGGCGGCGACGGGGCCGCGAGGGGCGACGACGGGGCCGCTAAGGGTCGCGCGAGGGGCCGTGAGAGGGGCCTCTAGGAGTGCTCGAAAAGAGGGCGGCCGACGGGAAGAAAAATTCCGTCGCACGCCACGGGGCAGCGGAAGCAGTTTTGTGGGCCCACAGGCCAGGAGCGTAGATGCTCTGATACCATATGAAGAATGAGGAATGAAGAAGAGAGGGGTTGCACTAGGAGCAGTTGGCATACATATAGGAAACCCTAATTGGGTTGTACTCGCTATAGAGTACCCCACTGTAGGCTAGACAATTGTAACATTCTGACAATATAATGACAAATACAATTTTAGGGTACCAAAAATGTACCTTTCATTGCTGCAATTCAACTGAGTCGAAACAATAGAACGCCTCAAAGCAGAATCGCGCGGAAGCGATTCTGCTTCCTGCACACGGGCAAATTCACGTCATTCTGCAAGCACGCCAGCACATCCGGACTGGATGCGCAACCAGTCAGGTCTTCGCGATTCAAACGAAGCGAAAATGATTCTGGACTCGCTGCAAAAATGAAATTCGCTACTGCTATATGCCAGAACATTATAGCTTATGCGTTTGTGTAGGCTGTAGTGGGGTAGCCCAGATGGGGTACAACCCAATTAGGGTTAGTACTTGTACCCAACTCTTTCATAGTGCATTCATTCTCGTTTCAGTTTTCTCATGGTATCGAGCAGGTTCCCTCATGGGAACTGTTCCTAGGGCCCACCGATTCGATTTTTTTTTCCTGCCCGGAGCGCGCTCAGCCCTTGCCCGAGTCGCGCTCCCCCTTTCTCACTGTGTCGCGCCGCCCTTGACGGCCCCGATCCGCCGCCCTAGCGGCCCCGTCGCCTACCCCGTGGCCCTCGAGCCGCCCTTCCCGGCCCCGATTCGCCGCCCTTTCGGCCCCGTCGCCTACCCAGCGGCCCTCGCGCCGCCCTTCCTGACCCGGCCCCGCCCTTGCTAGCCCCGTCGCCTACCTGCGGCCCCGACGCCTACCTGCGGCCCCGTCGCCTACCTGCGGCCCCGTCGCCTACCTGCGGCCCCAACACCTACCTGCGGCCCCGTCGCCTCCTTGCGGCCCCGGTGCTGCCCTTCCCGGCCCCGACCCCGCCCTTCGCGACCCGGCCCCGCCCCTGCTGGCCCCGTCGCCTAGCCCTGCGGCCCCGTCGCTGCCCTTCGCGGCTCAGGCGCCGCCCTTTCTCGGCCCCGACGCCGCCCTTCCCGATCCGGCCCAGTCTCTGCTGGCCCCGTCGCCTACCTTACGGCCCCGGCGCCGCCCCTTCCCGGCCCCGGCCCAGCCCCTGCTGGCCCCGTCGCACGCCCTTCCCGGCCCCGACTCCGCCTTCACGCGGCCCCGCCGAGCTACTGCCGAGCCGCCAGCGCCACCCGAGCCGCCCGAGCCGCCGCGCCACTTGAGACGCCTGAGCCGCCCGAGCCGCCCGAGCCGCCGTCCCGCCGAGCCGCCCGAGCCGCCCGAGTCGCCTGAGCCGCCCGAGCCGCCCGAGCCGCCCGAGCCGCCTGAGCCGCAGAGTGGCCGAGCCGCCGAGCTGCAGTTCTTGCCGAGCCGCCGAGCTGCAGTTCCTGCCAAGCTCCCGAGCCGCCAAGCCGCCCGAGCCGCCCTGTCCGGTAAGAGCAGCGCCTCCATCACTACACTGCCCTTACCCCACTGTTCGCGCTACTAGTCTATTGCTGTCATGGCTATCCCTAGTGTCCTCGCTTTTGACGCTGAGGGTCGGGCCATTGACTTTGATGTCTGGGTAGATGACCTGCAGCTTTTCCTACAGTGCGATAGGGCAGACGGTCTCTCCTTCTTTGACCTCACCTCTGGTGCCTCTCCTGCCCCTGCTGCTGATGCTGACGACACTATTCGCTCACAGTGGGCCACACGCGATGCTGCTGCACGTCTTGCTGTGCGGCGCCACCTGCCTACCTCTGAGCGTGCGCACATTAGCCAGTACAAGAGTGCTCAGACCTTGTACGACGCTGTAGTTGCACGCTACTCCTCCCCTGCCACCTGCTGCACTGAGTCGCCTTCTGCTACCGTACCTCTTCCCTGACCTTGCTGCCTTTCCCACAGTCGCTGACCTCATTACGCACCTCCGCACTAGTGACACTTGCTACCGCGTTGCGCTTCCTGCAGAGTTCTGCGCCAAGAACCCCCCCCCCATGTACATCACTCTCTACTACATAGTCACCCGCCTCCCTGACTCCCTTCGCGTAGTCAGGGACCACTTCCTCTCAGTTTGCCCCACCACCCTCACCGTTGACCTCCTCGAGAAGGCCCTCCTAGCAGCGGAGAAGAGAATAGTCACTGTAGGAGCCTCTCGTGGTGACCTTCGCACCCCCATCTTTGAGGGGTGTTCCCCCTCCCCCCTTTTGCCCTCTGTTGCCTCTGCTGCTGCGGCCGACCTCGTTGGGCTTGAGTCGGTCGGTGCGGCGTCTACCCCTAGCGGGAGACGCCGCCCTGGCAAGGGCAAGGGGGGCAGGGGCACTGGAGGAGCTAGCGGGGGCGGTGGAAGCGGCGGTGGAGGCGGCAGAGGGAGTGGGGGTGGCGGTGGGGGTGGTGGCGGGGGTGGAGGTGTCGGTGGCAGCAGTGGAGGCGGAGGCGGCGGCGGTGGCGGTGGGAGCGGAGATGGTGGCGGAGGTGGCGGCGGTGGAGGAGGCGGTGGCGGAGGAGGTGGAGCTGGTCGGGGTGGCACTGCGCAGAGGGTCGGCTCCGGTGGTGGTCAGGGCCAGCAGCACTAGCAGCGCACTCGTGACATCCCCTCCCCTCAGCAGCTCCGTGAGTGGTACGCTGCACGCTAGCGGGGTGGGGGTACTGGTCCGTGCACCTACGTCCTACGCACCGGCGACCGCGCGGGTGAGCAGTGCGGGGGTGCGCACTCCACCCAGCGCTGCTTTGGCCGCCTGACGGACGCTTGGCGTCACCAGTTCCCGGAGGCCACGGAGATCCCCCGCTGGGGTGAGCTGTCTAGGGCGGGAGTAGCTGTCTTTGAAATTGACTTTGATGCTATTCTTGCTGCCATGTATGCTGTGACTATTAGTGATGAGGGTGAATGTTACCGGTGTTTTCCGCCCGACCCGGGCATTGAGACTGCCGCTCTAGGTACTAGTGAGGCTGCTGCTCTAGGTGCTAGCGATGCTGCTGCTCTAGGTGCTCGTGCGTCTGGTCCCTCAGGTGCTGGTGAGTCTGCTCTCTCAGGTACTGCGTCGGCTTCGGCCTCCCACACCTTCACCCTTGACTCGGGGGCTTCTCGCTCCTTCTTCCGAGACCGCACCACACTCACGCCGCTTGGCCGGCCAGTTGCAGTCTCTCTGGCAGACCCCTCTGGGGGTCCTGTCCTTTCTCACTACTCCACTGTCCTCCCGTGTCTGGCGGCCCCCTCTGGCACCCTGTCTGGTCTTTACCTCCCCTCATTCTCTACAAACTTGGTGAGTGGTGCTGACCTACAGGATGCGGGGATTCACCAGTTCACTCCTGCGCGTCAGCGGGTGACCCACTGCACGGACACTCGGACAGGCCGACACCTGGCCACGTTTACACGTCGGCCGAGGTCGAGCCTGTACACACTGACCACTGCGTCTCCTCCAGTCACTGCGTCTGGTCAGGTAGCTGCGTCGGGTCAGGTGTTTGCTGCAATGTCCAGGTCTGGTCCTGAGTCTGCCCCCTGCTCGTGTCGCCTCCTGTCTCACGAGACTCTCCTCTAGCACCACCGCCTTGGTCACCCCTCCCTGCTTCGTCTCCGAAGCATGGCCTCCCGTGTCCTTGTCTCTGGTCTCCCCCGGTCCCTCCCTCCCCTTCCTCCTGGGCCTGGCCCTACCTGCGTCCCCTGTGTCGAGGGGCGGCAGCGGGCTGCCCCTCACTCCTCCCAGTTTCCTCCGACAGAGGCCCCGCTGCAGACGCTTCACATGGACGTGTGGAGCCCGGCCCGCGTCCGTGGACAGGGTCACAAACGCTACTACCCGCGTTACACCACAGTCTTCCCCTTGCGCAGCAAGGGTGATGTCACTGAGGTGTTGATCGACTGGATCCGCGCAGCTCGTCTCCAGCTCAGGCAGAGCTTCGGCTCGGACTTTCCTGTTCTGCGTCTGCACTCTGACAGAGGCGGAGAGTTCTCCTCTGGCCTTCTGCGAGCCTACTGTCATGCACGAGGCATCCGCCAGACCTTCACGCTTCCGGACTCTCCACAGCAAAATGGGATTGCTGAGTGCCGCATTGGCATGGTCATGGATGTCGCTCGTACGTCCATGATGCATGCGGCTGCCTCCCATTTTCTGTGGCCATTTGCGGTTCGGTACGCAGAGCATCAGATCAACCTTCACCCCAGGGTCTCCATGCCGGAGACCTCCCCAGCTTTGCTGTGGACGGGGAAGGTTGGCGATGCGTCTGCGTTCCATGTCTGGGGATCTCGGGCGTTTGTTCGCGACTTGTCTGCGGACAAGTTGTCCCCTCGTGCTGCTCCTTGCGTCTTCCTTGGCTTCCCCCCTGACGCGCCAGGGTGGCAGTTCTACCACCCCACCTCGCGCCGTGTTCTGTCCTCCCAGGACGTCACGTTTGACGAGTCGGTCCCCTACTACCGCCTCTTCCCCTACCGCACTCCATCCCTCCCCCCGCCACCGCTCTTCCTTGTACCAGGTCCCCCCCCCCGGTAGACCCCCTCCCCCCTCAGGGTCCTGCCCCTTCAGGTGTGTCCCACGTAGACGCAGTCGAGCCCGTCGAGGTTACTGGTGACTCTGGTGCTGCTGAGGGTGCTGAGCCTGGGGGTGCTGACTCTGGGGGTGCTGAGCGTGTGGGTGCTATGCCTGGGGGTGCTGAGCCTGCGGGTGCTACTACTGGGGGTGTTGAGCCTGGGGGTGCTGCGACTTGGGGTGCTGAGCTTGGGGGTGCTGAGTCTGGGGGTCCTGAGCCTGGGGCTGCTACGCCTGGAGGTGCTGAGCCTGGAGGTGCGGAGCCTGAGGGAGTTGGGCCTACTCGTGTGGCGTCTGGCGGTGCTGGGCCTGGAGGTTCTCGGGGTGCTTCGTCTCGACGGGAGCCCCTCTCTCCACAGGAGCTGTGTGAGTGGTTTGCTCGGCGCTGGAGGCGTGCTGCTGGAGCTGGAGGTTCTCCGACTGCTGAGGGTGCTGGTGCCGCGAGACCCGGAGGTGCTCGTGCTGGGTGTACTGGAGCTGCTAGTCCTGCGGGTGCAACTGGAGCTGCAGCTGCAGAGGGTGTTGGCACTCAGGCTACTGCTGTCGGTCCTGGAGGCGGTTGTGATAATCAATGAACAGGGATGAAATGACTAAGTCAGAGTTGGGTACACATACAACCCTAGAAAGCTGTACCCCATATGTGCTACCCCACTATAGCCTACAAACATGCATCAGCTATGATAATCTGACACACCCCCATAGGCAAAGTGGGGGAGAACAAGGGGTCACAAGACCAGTCAAGCAAAGCAAAGCAAAGCAAGCTCAGGGTGGATCACAAAGTCACCACACTGTCCGAGCATAAGAGCAGGGCCAGAGGCCAGTTCACATGCAGGAGTACAGACATATATATAAAACTAGACAAGCAAGAGCAGGTATATATATATGTCACAGTACAAGTGAAGTCAAGAGGAGAGCAAGTGAGGCAAGACAGGCACAAGACCCAGCTGGGTGCAAAAGCGCTGATGGTCACAAGGCGCGAGTGCCTTGGTGAACACATCAGCAGTGTTGGCCTCAGAGGCCACGTACGCAAGTCGCAACTGACCACGCTGCTGCAGCTCACGAGCAAGGAAGTAGCGGAGAGCAATGTGCTTCGTTCTGTGCTCCAAGCGCTGCTCTCGACACAAGGCCAGCATGGCCTTGTTGTCTACGTACAGCACTGGAGGAGAACGAGGCGGCTCTCCAAGGTCAGTCAGCAGGTAGGTGAGCCAGCGAAGCTCTTGTGCAGCCATGGCCCCGGCGTAGATCTCAGCCTCACAACTGGAGCCGAGAACCGAAGACGAGCGAGTAGACCGCCATGAGACAGAGCCGGAACCAAGGCTGAAGGTGTAACCCTGTGACGACCGCTGCGTAGCCTGGTCGTCAGCCCAAGAAGCGTCCGCGTGGCCGGTAAGGACCACTGGACTCCGCCCTCCAAGCACTAGCCCCATGCCCGACGTACTGCACAGGTAGCGCAATACCCTCTTCGCTGCAGCCATGTGCTCTGGTCTGTGTCTCCCAGGAGCAACATAGCGTGCAAGAATGCTCAGAGGGTATGCAAGGTCAGGTCGTGTGCAGGTCATCAGGTACATGAGGCAGCCAACAAGCTCTGCATACGGACCACTCGACTCTACGGACTCATCCGAAGGCAGAGCTGAGAGTGAGTGGCGAGTAGGCAGAGGAGTGGCCTGAGGCGAGGAGTACGTGAAGCCGAAGCGCTGAAGGACCTGCTGCACCATGTGTGACTGACTCAAGGTAATGGTGCGGCGTGCTCTGTCCCGAGTGATCTGCAAGCCAAGGTAGCTGCGCAGTTCACCCAGGTCTGTGCACGTGTGTCTCTTCAGCAGCTCGGACTTCACGTAGGCGAGTCCAGCAGTGTCCGCTGTGGCAAAGACCAAGTCGTCGACGTACACGAGGATGTAGAACGGCGGCAGGGAAGTGTCGGTGCGAAGAAACAGCGACGGGTCAGCAGTAGAAGGAGCAAACCCAAGGGCCGCAAGCGTAGTCCTCAGTGTGTCGTGCCACTCACGCGGTGCCTGGCGGAGACCGTAGACTGGCCGTCGGAGGCTCCACTGGGTGCCAGGAGGGAAAGTCCCAGTGAAGCCAGGTGGACGGCGAAGCCAGATCTCCTCGTGCAGGCTACCCTGCAAGAACGCAGTGCTGAAGTCGAGAGAGTGAAGCTCGTAGTCGCGCTGAGCGGCTATGTGCAGCAGCACCCAAAGAGTAGTCATCTTCGGGGTGGGAGAGAAGGTCTGAAAGTAGTCAACTCCCTGCCGCTGACTGAAACCACGAGCAACGTACCGTGCCTTGAAGACAGGTGGAGAGCCCGGCGGCCGCTTCACCCTGAAGATCCACATGCCACTGACGATGTTCGCCCCAGGAGGGGGAACCGCGTCAACGTAGGTGCCTGTGGACTTCCAGGAAGCCATCTCTGCATCCATAGCTGCCTGCCACTGAGAGGAGTAGGGACCCTCTACGGCCTCCGCGTAAGAACACGGAGTCGGGATGTCTAGTGCATCCGGGTCTCCCTCAGGGGCAAGCAGTACAGACGCGAGATGAGGTGAAGCAGCCGCTAGACACTGTAACTCCTCCTGCCTGTCCTCTAGGACGTCCGTGCCAAGAGCACACTCACCCCCGACGGACGGAGGACAGACAGACGCAGACTCAGCAACAAGACTAGCAGCGTAGTCGAGACGACAGCGAGCAGCAAAGTCGACGAGCTCAGCGACTAGAGCAGACGCAGCAGTGGACTCAAAAGAGGGGTCAGTGATGACAGTAGCAAGCAGACGCGTGACAGTAGGACTGGCAGCACGAAGAGAGTCCGACTCAGGGTCGGCAAGCGCAGGAAGAGAGGACTCAGGAGGAGAAGGCAAAGGGGCACGCAGAGGAGCAGTGGACGGACGCAAAGACATCCGGTGGGTGCCAGGGACAGGAGGAGGACGCTGACGCGAACTGCGACCACTAGCGCGAGCAGCACGAACAGGCGACGCGAGACGAGACGCAGGCTCACGACGCTCAGCAAGACCTCCAGTAGGACCAGTGTAAGGAGAGGGAGCAGGCACTGGAGAGGAAGGCTCCAGCAGGGACTGCGACTGGACAGGCGGTGGACCCTCTACTGGAGGAGAAAGACCAAGAACCTGCTGCAGGAGCGGAACGAAGTACGGCCGAGGCCGCACGGCAGCTCCAGACTCAGCAGGGACAGCACCAGCACCCTCAGCGACAGCACCAGCGCCACCCACACCTCCAGCGGCAGGACCAACAGCAGAAGGCTCAGCACCAACGCCCTCAGCAGTTCCAGCTCCAGGAGGACCCGCAGGTCCAGCAGCTCCGGGACCGGCAGCACCCGCACCCTCGACGGTCGAAGAAGCTCCAGCTCCAGCTCCAGCAGCACCTCCAGACTCAGCAGCACGCCTCCAGCGGCGAGCGAACCACTCGCGCAGCTCCTGTGGAGAGAGGGGCTCCCGGCGAGACGCAGCAGCAGGAGAAACCCCAGGCTCAACAGCTCCAGACGCAGCACCCCCAGGCTCAGCAGCTCCCAGCTCAGCACCCCCAGGCTCAGTAGCTCCCGACCCAGCACCCCCAGACCCAGCACCTCCAGGCACAGCACCCCCCGGCTCAGCACCCCCAGGCTCCGCACCCTCCGCAGTAGCACCCTCAGGCTCAGCACCCCCGCGCACAGCACCCCCAGAGTCAGCACCCCCAGGCTCAGCACCCGCAGCAGCACCAGAGTCACCAGTAACCTTGACCGGGTCAACGGCGTCTACCTGGGACACACCTGAGGGGGCAGGAACCTGAGGGGGGAGGGGGTCTACCGGGGGGGGAACCGGCACAAGGAAGTCCGGGGGAGGGGGGAGGGAAGGAGTGCGGTAGGGGAAGAGACGGTAGAAGGGGACTGACTCGTCGAACGTGACGTCCTGGGAGGACAGAACACGACGAGAGGAGGGGTGGTAAAACTGCCACCCTGGGGCGTCAGTGGGGAAGCCAAGGAAGACACAGGGAGCAGCACGAGGGGACAGCTTGTCCGCAGACAAGTCGCAGACAAACGCCCGAGATCCCCAGACACGGAACACAGACGCATCGCCAACCTTCCCCGTCCACAGCAAGGCTGGGGACATCGCAGGCCGAGAGACCCGGGGGTGAAGGTTGAGCTGATGCGCCGCGTACCTCACCGCAAACGGCCACAGAAAATGGGGGGCAGCCGCATGCATCATGGACGTACGAGCGACATCCATGACCATGCCAATGCGGCGCTCAGCAATCCCATTTTGCTGTGGTGAGTCCGGAAGCGTGAAGGTCTGGCGGATCCCCCGTGCACGACAGTAGTCTCGCAGAAGGCGAGAAGAGAACTCTCCGCCTCTGTCCGAGTGCAGACGCAGAACAGGGAAGTCCGAGCCGAAGCTCTTCCTGAGCTGGAGACGAGCCTCGCGGATCCAGTCGATCAGCACCTCAGTGACCGCACCCTTGTTGCGCAAGGGGAGGACTGTGGTGTAACGCGAGTAGTCGTCAACCACCAACAGGAAGTAGCGCTCGTGACCCTGCCCACGGACGGGGGCTGGACCCCACACATCCATGTGAAGCGTCTGCAGGGGAGCCTCTGTCGGGGGGAAGTGGGAGGAGTGAGGAGTAGCCCGGAGGCGACCCTCGACACAGGGGACACAGGAAGGTCCTGGCCCGGAGGGGAGAGGAGGGAGAGACTGGGGAAGACCAGAGACAAGGACACGGGAAGCCATGCTCCCAAGACGGGGCAAGGAGGGGTGGCCAAGACGGTGGTGCCACAGGAGAGTCTCGTGAGACAGGAGGCGACAAGAACAGGGGGCAGACTCAGGACCTGACCGGGACGCAGCAGCAAGCACCTGACCTGACGCAGCCACCTGACCAGACGCAGGGACAGGAGGAGACTCAACGGTCAGGGTGTAGAGACTCCACCCCGGCCGACGCGAGAACGTGGCCAGGTGTCGGCCTGTGCGTGCCTCCGTGCAGTGGGTCACCCGCTGACTCGCAGGAGTGAACTGGTGAACCCCCACATCCTGCAGGTCCGCGCCACTCACCAAGTTCGTAGAGAACGAGGGAAGGTACATACCAGACAGGGTGCCCGAAGGGGCAGCCGGACACGGGAGGACAGTGGAGAAGTGAGACAGGACAGGACCCCCAGAGGGGTCAGCAAGGGAGACTGCAACCGGCCGGCCGAGCGGCGTAAGGGTAGTGCGGTCTCGAAAGAAGGAGCGAGAAGCCCCGGAGTCAAGTGTGAAAGTGAGGGAGGACGAGGACGACGCAGTACCTGAGAGCGCAGTCTCACCAGTACCTGAGAGCGCAGACGCACTGGCACCTAGAGCAGCAGCCTCACAAGCACCTAGCGCAGCAGTACCAATGCCCGGGTCGGGCTGGAAACACCGG